ATTGCCTACCCTCAGCCCATCAGTTACTGGACAATTATTCAAGGCCCAGCTGTAAGAAAAACAGATGGTGAGTGAGCATTAGTAACGTGGGCTTCTTTTCACTCATGCAGTCATAAGCAGAGGTTGTATGTTCTCACATGAAAACTGCCATGAAGTAGCAGACTGAGGAACAAAATTGTGCAAAGACTCCAATTTGTAAGCTAACATGTTTAAAATTTTCATGAGCTAATGCCAGATTAACTGATTTTACAGGAGAGGAAGATTTTACAGAGTGAGGAAGTACTATAAATGGACTAGGTAAAGAAAGGCAGTGTTCTCATGATAGGTTTAAACCGTGTCATCATAAAACATCAGTTACAGAATTCAACTACCATGCGTGATCCTCTGAAGACTCACTAAAGTATAAAATGCAGAATACGCATGCTTAGAACTGTAACTGCAATGGTGGCATTCAGCAATTGATGTGCTTGTGCTCTATAAAAAAAAAAAAGGTCAACTGTATCCAGGAATTGTTCATCCATTTTAATTCTTTACACAATTTTAGCACAAAGATAATCTACTCTAATCCTTATTCCATTATTGACACTATTGACTACATCAATTGAAAATGCCACCAAATAAATCAACATTGAATTAAGCCATGAAGAAAGAATGTGATAAAAAGTCTTTCAGACTCCTATAAATCATCAGATCCAGAAGCATGACACAAGTAACTGAGTGGGGAATTCAGCTTTTCTCCATAGTCATAATGCTTAAGGCCCAAATAAAATTACACTAATTTACCATGTAAGCACTAATGGAATAGCTGGGGTAGAGATGGAGGGTTTGTTGGGTTGTTTTGTTTTCCTGGTGGATTCTTTTCATCATTGATACAAGAGCTGTACCATGAACTACTTTCTTGTTAAAGACAGAAAAGGTTGATATTGAAGTTTCAGTTCAATTGTTTTCGATCTGTGAACGTCCACTATGAGCAATTGCTCCATTTAAGAGGAATTACCCTTTGTACAAACCAATTCACTATTTAAAACAAAGCACATCTATCATCATTAAACATAAAAAAAACCCACCCCAATTTTAAAATAATGACAGCAGCACTCTATACTATGACATGGAATATTACGTGATGTTTCAAAACAGTTGACTCTGTTACTTTAGTCAGAAAATACCAACTAAATAACCATGTGTCCACGCAAACATATATCATATGGAAATACCAGTTAACAGAACTAAGCCTCCATTAATACACAGTAAAACCCAATTTACAGGCGGTCAGAAGTTTGCTGTAAATATTACTTCATGCTAGCATTTGATGTAAGCTTGTGGTCAGTAATTATTTGTTGCATTGATGTGTTATATTAAAGAGGAGAAGAGAAAATAGATGTATGTAGCTGTTTCTAACACCATAAAATACTACCAAATGATAGGGCGCACTATGAATCCAAGTTGCCTTTTCCTGTATCTTTAAATATTGACAGTAGGTAAAATTCTAATCCAGATGCACCTACACTTTTCCCAACCGTCCCTATCTTTTCAATGATGCAGTATAAACTTCCAAATCAAAACCATATATCCTCCTCCTGTTCATTGCTGCCACCGATACAGTCGTTTTGATTTTAATGTTGTTTGAAAACTCTTTCCAGATTTCTACAGTTAGAAGCATCTTAATTAGAGAACATACAAATAATTTCAGACCATTTCTAATAGCTTAACTAACTTGGAAGCATCCTTCAGTTTTTGTTGGCTTTTTCAAGTGAGTATCTTATTGACAGTTAATTTATAACGCGAACTAGGCCTCTGTGCTTCATTTATTTTCAACAGTTAAGCTTTAGAAGTTCTTAGGTAAAGCATCCTGTATGCACAAACTCTTTTAAAAATATTCAGTTCCTCACTTAGGTCTTAAAACATTATGTACATGTGTAATCTGGAAGATATCGGAGCAAATACTTAAGTTTCTAACACTGAATAAAGTAGTAGAGCACTTGTGTGGGTACCACTGTGGAAAACATTTTATCCATTTATACTAAACAAACTGAGCAAGTGGTATTAGTTTAGCAAATATATAATGGCCAATTTTAAGTGACTACCGAGACACAGATTTTCCCAAACGATTAGTACAGCTCCACAGAAAACCACCATGCTCATGCCTACACAAATATTTATTGACAGGAAGACTGGTTTGCCCAGCTTGAGAAGAACGTAACGCCTTTTATAGTCTTTCAGGAAAAACGTACATCCAATTATAAAATTTAAATTAACAGAATATTAGCATATTTAGCAGATAGACACAAAAATAGAGAATAATTTTTTTCATCAATTCTAAATAGATAGTAAAGTTTAACAACTCGGAGAGCTCAGCTGTCATACAGATGTCTGAATTCATTTTAATTGAGGTGCAAGTAAGCAGACATATCTGAAGTGCAATTTTTCAAGGAAAAAAAAAATTCTACTCGATAGGTTCACATAATGTCTATATACTGCTGGTCACAGGGTCCACAGGCAGGGCGGAATCACTAGTTATTAAGTTGCCAAAGCTTTTAGATTACCAGTATTTAAGATCAATAGACAACTTTATAGAGTAAGAAAAACATCAACAGTTTCACTGAAATAGTAATATTTGCACTAAACATACAAAACACAGGTATTTCTGTAGGTTTGCTAGAAATTATCAGATATGGGAAAAATAGAAAAAAAAACAAGTAGACTGTCGCAGTAAAAGTTTATTAATGTTTTCAAAAATAGAAAACACTTCTTATCCTTTCCTATTTAAAATCAGAACAGTGCGACGTTAGCTTTGTAAGTAATGTCACCACAGTACTTTCTTTCTGCCTGAATAATTTTGAGATAGAGTAACATGTTTCTAAACACTTAACCAAATACATAAAATAATAAATCATATCTGAACTAAGATGATAATTATGTGACTCTCTAGGAATCCAGACTAACTAAAATGCCAACCAGCAATCAAAAGAAGCAACAAGCACAGAATTTTGAACCTGCCACAATTATAATTAGGAATTCATATGACTTTTTAACTTATATGTAATTGTGATTAGTAGAGGCAGAATGATTCTAAACTGACAATAGGATTAGCCAGATGATAAAGCCAACACTTAAAAAAAGAAATACTTTCATTGTGGCAGTTAATCCACTTAAAGAGTTAAAAATTATCCACTAGATATAGCACTTTGTAAAGTGCATTAGCAATCACTTCTCATCTTTCTCTCAAATGGAATAGATGGAATTGAATTCACAATTTTAAAGCAATCATTATGGTTGCACAGTTTCTTAAACCTTAAAGCAGTGCCATACTACAGATATGTTTGCATAATGATACTGCAATAGCTCAGACAGGAAGGTTATTATAGCACCTAACCTCATCTTTATATTATTCTTTATCAGCTCCCTGTGTGGCCATGTTGACCTCTCACCTTAATTCACATTTCTCCTTTCAAAAGCTGGATCTTTAACATACAGATTGGTTTTTGGCAAACTCAAAGGAAGAAATCCAACAAAATACAGGAGTACATTTTGTGTACAATCAGTAAGTGCACAAGTCACACTGGATCATTAAAGGTAATCTATAAATGTCATTTCCAAAATGTATCCAGAATACAGAACTACTAAGAACATACATTTTAATTAAGACAAGCAATTTATTTAAATATTAAATACATCATATTTATCTGAGGCAAGTTTAAATTGCAGACATATGAATCCCTCCCACATACATGTATAATCTAGGGCGTATACAAGAATCTTTTATTATGCACTTCTATGCTGTAAGTCAGAAATGGTTTATACTACACTATTCAAGAAAAAAGCTACAGAAGGGTTTATATCCTGCAAATAATTGAGTTCTGTTTTTTTCAGCAGTAATAGAAAACAAATATTCTGAAACAAAAATAAGCTTTAAATCTATTTTATTTAATCTTTAGGAACAAAAAGAAATACCATAAAACATCTGTCAGGCATTTGCAAATACAGAAATAAAGTTAGAGACTGTTTCATGAAAGTCAATATGCATATAAACTATTGTAGTGGAAGTTGGAAGAAATGCCCCTATTTGTTACAGTAGGCACAAGGATTTTTTTTCCCTGAAGTTTCAGCAGAAAGTAACAGAATAAACAGGATTAATCATTTTTTGCAGGATAACATATTTCTGTCTTGGCTCTACATACTTACTAGATGACTCTCTATAACAGTGGACTTATTTGTAAAATAAAGAGGTAGAATACAATGACAATTCCAAAATACTAGTTTAAAAATATTGTGTTATTATCTAGCTATTTATTTAATGTTGTAACAGCAAGAAGGTACCAACTAGGAAATAATTTGGGCAGGGAGAGGGGTGGAAATACTTAAAAAAACCTAGATGCAAAAATTATATTAAATTAATGAAAAAATAATCTTAAAAATGGACTAGAAATTGTTATCATTTTGCTGATATCAGAACATTTTTTTAAACCCATTCCAATATACTTCAGTGATAGAAGTAGTAATTCTGCACAAATATAGCTTTATAATTTTTTTTTCTTTTTTCTTTGGTGAACTAGAAATCAGCTTGATTTTAATCAGCAGCATGTTTCAACACAGACTTGAAATTCCTGGCTTCAAAGGCGGCTTAAACAAAATTGCCATTGGGCACATTTACATTAGAAGTATAATTTATGCCTGCAAGTGAATAAAGAGCAGTCCTTTATGGCTGAAACTCTGCTACAGTATCCACAAAAATGCAGTCAAAGTACTCTGTTAAATATCTATAAACAGCATCAATAAAGACATTGGGGGGGGGGGGGAGATATGCAAAGGCTTGATGCTCTGTGAAAACATATTTTCTACTCACTCTCACCATTCTTAAGTGCAGGTACAACACTCACTCCACACCGTGGGAGACATTTATACAGTCTATTCACACAAAAAATATCTCCAAGATTAGAAATCCCCCAAATGATGCTGACAAAGCAGGCACTATAGGAAAAGAAAAAGTTAAGCAAACTTACCTGCTGTAAGTACATAAAAGTCAAGGCACAGGAGAGCTGGGGACACATGCCCACATTCGGCAGTGCCACGCAGGTTGCACCCGTAAGGGGATGCTGCATGGTGTTGCTCTGAAGTCTACGTAGAACAAGTGAGGGGGCTTGCATGCAAGCACGTTTGCCCTATCTTGTCACTACGTTTTTTTCCTTTTGCTTATTTAAGTGAGAAACAGTATTTCTTAAACGCTTTTTTTTCCCCAGCACTAGATCCCTACATTCATTTGTCAGCTAAGGCAACTTGGTAGATTTAAACTACGAATTTTTAACAGAGAGGAAAAAAAGAAGACACAGCCTGCAGCCTATTGATGAGCAAATGGAACTTCCTCAATGACAGAGAGAGCTGAAGCTTGTCTCACAACAGTAGCTGCTGACTAGTAGAGAGAGAGATTGACTCAGTGAGGCTCAGTCGGCTGGTGCTGATGCTGCACAGCTTCTCATTTGTCAAATGGGTCCTAGGGCAGGGTCTTTACCACTCACCAAAATTCAAATACTGCATTTTAAAAATCCCTGGAGGGAAGGAGAGAAAGTGAGCGTGCTGCATCACAGGCATCCATGAGATCTGGGCAATTAGTGTCACTGCCCAGCTGGGACTGAATGCCTGTTATGATTCTGCACGCACGCATACACACTCGCACACACACTTCTTTTTCCCTCCCAGGACTCACACCTGACATAAAAAGGGCTTTCCCCTTCTAAGAACAAAAGTATGAAGCACGAAGTGGGGAAGGGAAAGAATCTTGGCTAGTCAAGAGGATTCCAGCAAATATACAGTGCCATCAGTAAATGAGGTTTTTTAAATACACATTAATTTTATATCTATGTTTCATTCACCATCTAGTTTCCCAGAGAAGCCTATAAAAGCATTACAGCGAAACTATGAAATATTTGTGTAACCACTGCAGCAGAAACACTAGGAATGAAACAAAATTCTATGGCACGCTGTGCCTACTTGCTAGGGGGAGGGGAGCAAGCTTGGATAAAGACTGTACCTAAAAATTGGTCTAAAACCCATCTCAACTAAAATTACAAATTTATTTGGCAGCTAGTCAATCTATTATAAAGGACTGCCCTATCAGGTTACATGGAAAAATTACATTTGCAATTTTCAGAATTTAATGTTTACATTTTACTTTGGGAGTGATACCTCAAATTAGTATTCCACTCTTGCAGGCTTCCCTTCCCCCCACC